ATTTGTATAGCGCCAATATCCAGCTTAGCTCAGCAATGCGCGTTGTTTTTCCCTCGATCATCGGATGTCAATCTCAACGGCACATCATATTTTTCAACCTCAACTCCCTGAGGACCATACAACTCTTGCAGCCATTTAGGCGCACACAGTTAATGTGGCTTTCTCATCCTTACGAGAAACCCATTCACAGCTGGGTGGACTGGGACACATAGTCACAGTACGTTGTCCAAGTTTAGTGCATGTTGCTGTACCCGCAACTTGGTGTTTGCACGTATTCATGCGGACACCATCTGGTCATATACCAACAGATTCGTGGGTTCTTTTAAGTGTACAGGGTTGTGTACTGTACACTAGGGGTTGTGTCAACACTGAAAGAGTCTGTACACAAAGTTGACTCCAGGTGGGCTCGATCCCGGCACCTTAAGCTCGCTGGATCACTAGCCTGGCGTCTGAGATCGCTCGCCCATTGCAACCAACTATTTATAGATATAAGTTGTTACTGTGACTTCATGAATAGATTGGTTGCATGTTTGCTGTGATAAATCAGTGCCACCAAGACATCTGTGTCACCCACTTCTGTATTGTTCTGTGCATGACACTATCAACATAGATCTTGCATATGTCAGCAATGATACCAATCCTTGGACATGGTATATGCTGGAGAAGTGCACATCCAACGACTACGCCTGGTGTTGTGTGTGTTCTTCTTCTTTGTGGTACCGGTAATGTGTAAGCAGATATCTGGCCAGGACAGACTTGGGCATTTTCTCATGGATCCATCATCATGGAAGAAAGCTGTTGCAAGTTCAAATGAGAAGACATCTGGAGATGGAGGACCACTCACAAGAGTTGTTGATAGTAATCGCTGACACAGCTCCATTGATGACATCCTCGGCTGTGCCCCGTCTGATAGGCGGACACAATTCTTCATGGTGGTGAATCAAATGTGACTACTTGTGATGCCTTCTTCAACACCTTTCCAAATGTCATCCCTGTCATATTTGTGCAGAGAGCAGTTATTTGGTTCATGCTGAATCCTTGTGGGTGATGTTGATTAAGTCTCCTTGAATTTTGCCTGCTCTGATTAGACATTGCTCTATGACTATGTCTCTCCTTAAGTGTCACTCCATAATTGCTTTGGGTTTCTTCTGATTGTAAACAGACCAGCTTCCATAATTACTTTCAGACAAGCACAGACAAAGACAATCCTGAAGATACAATGTGCAGAATTTGGCATAGTTGTTGTGTCCAGATGCTGCAAACAGGGGTAACATGCCTCCTGTTGGTTGCTTTCAGATGTAACTGCCAGTTCCCAGTGCGCTCTGCTCTTATAAACATCCTTACAATGGAAACAAAGTCCATGAACATCAGTCACAGCTTACTTGTCCTTGATAGTGATTTCTTCTGATCTTTCAGTTCAAGCAGTTGCACATGAAGCTGTTTGAGATTTTCATGGGCTGTGTTATCAACTTGTGATTCATGGTTCATGATTCATGATTCATGTCTGTCAAGGTCACAACGCTTGGTCTCCCCTCTACTTCTGCAATAGTGATCCTTGATCCAAAATACTAAAGGAGGCGGCGTTTAAAATGCTTCAGACTGTAGGGTGAGATCCCAGTAAGCAGATCAGCAGCATACATATCCAACAGCTACTGTAGAGTGTACAGCTTTCCATTCTGCATACTTTCTGGCAGCAGCTCACACCAGGAACTGAAGGCTGTGTTCTTAATGTTTCTTGCTGAATCCTCAGAGTTTGTCCTTGCTGTCCTTTCATGCTCATGCAAAAAACACTCCATGCAATGTCTGTGGTATGTTGCCTCAACTGCACCAATGTTACCAGCTGGAACATCAACTGCCTTATCATCGAAGATCTTCTCTCACAGAAGTTGAGAACAGTCTCTTGCAGAATACTTTTTTCCCTCTGCTGAAAATATTGATATTGCTGATTGCTGAATTTCTATTTGGATGTTATTGAAGGTCTTCCAAATCACTCCCATTTCCTCTCCCTGATCTCAATACACATGGCTGGGTATTTTCATTGATGTCTACTTTGTGAGCTTTCAGTATGGTCGATTATGCTGAGTATGACTTTCTGCATTTTTCATGGACAAAGTTAATTTTTTTTTATTAAAGAGTTGATTGTAAAGAATCATTACAAAGAGTTAATTCTTTGAGTAGAGTGTTCAAACCCTTGCCTCTTAGTTTCACTTCTCCTGAACCATTGTGACAAATGACACGTCATGTTGGAGATCGAAACATATCTGTAAAGAAAATAAAAAAATCAATTAAACTTATGATTAAACATAGGCATATTTGGACATGGTAAGACATATTCTGTGGCCAATTATTAATTAGAAAATATACATAAACCTGTTTCACATCTTAGATATTTTCCCAAAACATCTGCATGGAGTAAAAATAAATACAAATAAGCATATTTTGACATGGTAAATTACAAACAACTTTCTGTTTTAATAATCAATAAATAGAATGCATATTATGTATATTCACTTAAAGAACAGTGGAAATGAAATGCTATTTCATCTCAACTTCAAACATAAAACTTTACTGGTTGTTTAACATGCAAGTTTGTTGCACATGTTTTGTAGTTTTGTAACATTATCTCAAACTATCTGCATTGATATACTGGGTTTCAATGGAGAAATATGTATTGAAATATCACCTCATAAGTAAAATATTCCTGAATTATATAGTTCCATAAAAGATAACACTATCAAAAATATTTTTGCAGGTGATATTCTAAGTAAAACAGTACATTTACATCTGAAGGGTTTTGACATACACATATCTATAATTTGTTGTCAAGAAAATATTTTCTGCAGTGTTTGACCTTGACCTCGGCATCAATACAGGCTTTTTATTAACTTGAAACATAATTACTTTTGGGGACTAATGTTAATGAATTAGGCAAGCATAATTGATGTATAATACCAATAAGTGCTATGTACCTTGTAGTGAGGTTATAATTCAATATAAACAACTAATTATGAAAAGTAAACATAGATGGCTGCAGTCTATTTATAGTAACACCATGAAAAAAGATCTTGAAGTCTTTGATTTGACTCTAATGTGTGTAAAAACTAGCCCAGAATTAACTTGCCAGTATATGGCTATTATTTTTACTGCATGTAACTTTGTAACTGTAAGTTAAATTCATACTTGCAGAATATAACATTGATAGTTTGGCACTGTCATCATGTTTCTGCTTAGTGGTTGCAAAGTCACCTTCTTCTATTTTTTTTAATATATGCACATGCTTAACATGTGGATATTGCATCTGAGGGTTATTTATATGCATTTGGTAAATTTCTGTGTTCAATTTTATTCATACATACCCAGATTTGGTCCACTTTGACAGGAGCTTGGCAGTTGACAGCTGTTTGTTTACATAGCAACGGTGCTATCTTCTTACAACTGTTTTTGTGTAGTTTGCTGAAAACAAAGCTTTGGGACCTTTTTTGGACACCCCCAAAAACATATTTCCCCACTCTTGATTTTTCTTGGGTTTTGTGTACATGATAAATAGAAACCAGAGAACAGTATTCTGCAATAATTGGCCTGTTATCACAAATGTCTAGGTTATTTTATTTTGACGTCGATTTCTACTGGCCTATTATGCTGTTTTTGAAAGAAGTTTGAGACTGAAGAACTGACTTTAAAAATAACTTTGATATTACCAAAGCGTACCATTACAGTGACTGTGTGAGTGTGCTGCTAATGTTGAACAGGTAAGCTGATACCAACATGCCAAAGCAATCTAATTTGGTTTTAAAGAAAAATAAAACACAAAATAGTTATGAATTAAATGTCCTTTATTTTAAAAAAATAAAACTATTAATAAATTAATGGCCCCAAAAAGAATCAGATGGCCCCTCTTTTTGAAAAGAGAGGGGCCCTTTGGGCCCGACATTTTGAAATCCTAGCTTGAACACTGAATGACCATACAAAATAACTTGTTTTGTGCCCAAGCCATTACTCTAGGAGAGACAAGTGTCATAAAACATCAAAAGTATACTTTGGATGTAAATGGAAACATTTGGTGTTCATCTTTATGTAAATTTAAACGCTGAGAAGGCAAAACACCATAAAACAAAATGGCAGCAGAATGGCGGCCATTTTGATTTTTTTCAAAATAAAAAATATGTCAAATATTTTCTGCATCCTTTAGCAATACACAGAAGTCAAAATGAAAGTGATCAGACTAATAGTAGTAAAACTAGTAAACTGACAAAAAAACTGAGAAATATAATTACTCACAGCATAAAAGATTAATATGGCTTGGAAGCCATGGTGCATTCAAGACATTCTTCTGGATTTATGCACAGGAGATATAGTTCAAAATTAACATATCATCTTTTCATTTTGACAACAACAAATACAACTAGTAAAATGTGCTATCGTGCCACTGGAGTTTTCTGTCTTGACCGTCACTCAACTGTCTACTGTTGACTACTGCATAGTAGGAATGCTGCTGTGTAGTATAAGGCAACAAACAGACACATGGGTCGAAATAATCCATTGCCCGACGCCCCAGTCCAGTGTTTTTTTCTGTCGGGCAAGCAAATTTGTATATCACACTGTACCGGTGTCCAGTTGACTTTCCAATGTTAATTATGTTGTTTATTTAAAAAATCAACAAGAAAATCGGCCAGTATAGTGGAAAAATTATCAGGGCAAGTGATTTTACATGTGCCACTGTACCGGAGTTCACGAACAATTTTAAAGTTAATTCCTACCCTGAGACACTTACACTCCAGGAAGGACATCTCTCCCTTTTCACATGCACACACATACCCCAGCATTAAAAGTAAACAGAATATAAAAAAGTAAGGGAGCAAATAATTTCATTTTAATCAAACTGATGACATATTTGAAAACTATGTAAATGAAGATATACACATGAGAATAATGATCTCCACACATCACTGGCCACCATACTAGAACATACTTTGATTTCCGGCTTATCCACTGTGACTTACATCATAAAGCGTGTTGAGTCTGAGGTCCTGCATATACAGTAAACTGGCTCTCCCTCTCCATCCCCTGCAACTTGTTCCATGGCCTTGATCAACAGGTTCACCTTCGCCTGGCGCTCTGGTAGTCGGAACTGATTTGCTATTTCCTCTTGCTGAAAGCAAAAATACACTTTTAAGAAATTTAAGATCTCAAGAGATGACAGAAAAACTAGGGATAAACCATGAGTGTGGCAACAATCAAAGAGTCAGCTAGATATGCCCAGAAATTATTTAGAGATGTTAACTTTTACAAAAGTCAAACAGAGACAGTTTTGGTATCATCGAGCCATTCCCATGTGATCTGATCATACCTATAAAAGATGTCTGTTTTATTACTGGCCTTATTACTACAGCATTTTTGTTTTTTGCAGATCTAAAAATTGCCATGTTTTGTGTATGCTTAGCTGAAAACATCAACCAGCAGTGCACATAACTTTAAGTGAATCTGCTAGTATTTCAGTAAACATGTACCCCACTAGTTTGATCAGATGATCTGAAGAAACCAGAAAACAGGAATAAATGAACACTGTCATTAGGCAAGACCAGTTTTATTTCTTGTTTACGGATCCGCCTGTCATAGTTTTTCAAGAATAACATAAGAAAATAAAAAATAATTATCCCCGCTCAAAAATAAAATCCTAATGTGAAATAAGTGGAATACTCTTGAAATCAATGTGAAACCTAAACTCACTCAACTTATCTCTAGTTGATATAAACAAACCAAAAGAGTTAACATGGAAACTCATGTGGGTTTTTGCTTTGACTGGTGATTGTTAAAAAAAAGAAAATTCCCCTCCTGCCTTTAGGTTTTCTGAGGACAAAAATCCATTAAACAAGAAATATAATTGGTCTGGCCTCAGTAAATGTTGAAGTTTCCAGAAGTGAGATATAACATTAGTCACACTGGGAGTATTTCAGCCATATAGTGACTAAAACAGGTTGTACATTAATGACACATTAACCCAGCATATAAAAATAAAACCATAACATCACAGACATAGATGTAAACTAGCATGTAAATGTACTGCAAATACAACATATAACAACTTAGAAATTGCCGACAACTGAAGATAGATCATCATACTAAGGACCATGGGGACTTAGTGTACTTTTGCTTCCTGCATGGACCCTAGCTTTGGCGATTGTGCTATTTATCTAATGACAAAACATTTTTTCAAAAAATTTCAAAATGTTCAATTTCTTTTAAAACGCTGAAGGGAAGGAGTTACGGCTGATGCATGAGAAATGGGAAAGCTTGCAGGATATTGCTCAATACAGTATGGATATTATGTATGGACATGAGATGATTGATTGACGTTACTGTGATGAGTACCGGTATTCTATTCCTTATACTGGTGATACATTAGATAATAAATTCATAAATACTTGTGATTCTGGGTAATGTCAAACACAGATTTAGCTTGAAGATAATGTTATAGTGACTAATTCAGGGCAGCCATCGTCCAAATATTTAAAAAGTCCAAAACTAAGTTGTCAAGACATGTAAGACTTTATTGTAATATATATATATATATATATATATATATGACGCCAACCTGTATTCTTAATCACTACATCCTTATTACTACTGCATTTAATTGTCAAAGCGTGGATACGCATCAACTGGGGAATTAGCTCATGTTTAAGATGAAGTGTACATACAATACGTTGACAAGACGGAATACGTTGAGCTCAAACTTCTTTAGTTACATGACATACAAATACACAAGACATAAATGTGGTGAGCGGAGTACCTGCTCAACCCCAAGGTTTCCTACGAGCGGCATTATCCTGCTCGTGGTCGTCCCTACACAGGCAGTTGAAATCCCGGACTCGTACTCTGTTTTTTTTATATACATGTAGATGTGAGCATATATATATACAGTTTTTGACAACAATGGACAGGCGAAGACTCAACAATGGACAGATAGAGAAACAATAGCACTTCCTTGACCAGTTGATGTGATGGCAGACATGGCCAAGGGGGATTACCAATGAAGGTTATAAATGTCTTATACAATAATTAATGGGCTGACAAGTCAATGTACAATGCGGTAGTGATAAGGATGTACAATAGTGATTAAGAATACAGGTTGGCGTCATATATATATATATATATATATATATTACAATAAAGTCTTACATGTCTTGACAACATAGTTTTGGACTTTTTAAATATTTGGACGATGGCTGCCCTGAATTAGTCACTATAACAATAAAGCAAAAACAGCTTTTGCTACAATGTGTGCTCTGTAGAAATTGTCACATGAACAAGTAGGAACTTTTCAAAGATGGATAGAATGTTTGCATTTGGCAAGGTGCCAGGTGTTATGGGACAGAATTTCGGCAATTCAAGTCAAGGTAATCTCACTCATAAAAATCCATAAGGATTTTGCATCATTCTCAAGACCACTTCCATGGTTGAAAAAGAAAAATCAGCTTTTAATTCATCTCCAATGTTGTTGTTTGTTTCTGTTGATTTTGGAAAAGGATGCCAAGGATACCTGTACTGAATATTTAAGTAATGTGATCTGTTGGAAAGAATGGAAACTGTTGTGTTGAATGAACCAGATCATTCAGTTACATCTATTTATGTTTACCTAATTCTTCCCATGCGTATTCTAAAACCTATGAGCAAGTTTATGCAACAAGTAAGAGAACAGATCTCTCACAATATGAGAAAATGATGCTCAGTGTAAAATCTGAACACTGCTTTTTCAAAAGCTATTTTCAGAGCATGGCGTTCATTTTCACACCTGATCTATTTCGCTTGATTTCACTGAGACACTCAGTATTTGTGACAAAAACTATTTAATTATATGCAGTGTATGAAATAAAGCCCATCCGACCGCCCAGGACAGGCTAGATTTCTGCCGGACGGTGAAATTTTACAGCTAGCCAGCCCGATGGACGGGTGAAAAAAAATATTCAGATAACATGTCCACTGGCACTGTCTATTTAGTATTTAAGAAGGACCGGTTAAATCTCTTCTGGGCTGTTAAGTTTTTGCAGTTACCAGCCCAGATGTCTGGCTGGGTTTTTGGCTTATTTCATACACTGTTATATGAACATAGAGATTTTTCTGGGTTACATCTTCTGTTTATTCTTTAGAATGAAAAAAGAAGAAGATGTAACCCAGAACAATCTCTATGTTCATCAAATAGCATCTTCTAAAATGCCAATCAAGCATCTATTTCATTATATTTGTATATGTATGAGGAATTCAGGAATGTGTGAAAGGAAGCTGATTTTGAATTATAGATGATGTAACAAGCGTAACATAACTGATATACGCGTACAGCGCGTAGTAATATTATTACGTACAATTGTAACAGCGTTGATATCGTGTATTGCGATGCCAGTTTTTAAAATACTGCTACTTAAAAACGACACCATGTATCGTTGTAATATTTTGTAATATTTTGATCGACCATGATGTCACGTGTCTGTCACGTGACTCTATATTTTATCTATTTGTCGTCTTCTACATATTCTGGTTATTTCAGGCAGCAATGGGGAAATCGGCTGATTTGTCAGAGCCACTTCACAAATTAATTGTAAAAAAAGTTTCAAAATGGCGAAAAATGTTCTAACATTGCAAGATTCTTTGGAATGCCACGAAGCAGAGTATATTCGGTGGTAAAGCGGTTTAATCGACGTGGATCAGTCGAGAATGCTCCCAGAACAGGCCGTATGAGAAATCTGACTCCTCGGGACAATCAACAACTTTTGAGGTTGGTCAGAAACAAAAGGATTTCACCTTTGGGTGAAATAACTGAAAATTTGAACAACAATAGGGCTACACGTGTATCGGTGAGGACTGTAAGGAGATGATTACATGTATATGAAAATAAATTTCATAGACTTGTTGTTAGAAAGAAAATTCGTGACTATAATGTCAGAAATCGTTTGGCCTGGGCAAGGGGGCAACAATATCGTACAGTGAATAATTACTGGAATTGAGTAATCTTCTCTGAAGAGTGTAAAATTATCATTGGGAAAAACAATCGTGTTTTTGTTTGGAGACAGCCCCGGTGAAGAATACCTCCCGCAATGTCTTTGTCCGTGACGACAGCCACGTGTCAGTTTGATGGTGTGGGCTTGTATCACCTGGCATGGCGTTGGTACCATTTGTGTTGTTAATGGCAACATATATGCTCAGAAATGCACAGAAAGCCTCGATGATATGCTTTGGGCCGTTATTGCCAGACATTTTCTGGGAAACCGGTACATCTTCCAAGATGATCACGCCCCTATACATCGGGCCTGTGGCGTTCAGGATTACGAGCGACAAAATGACATTACTGGAATGTTGTGGCCTGCACAGTGTCCAGACGCAAATGTTATTGAGAGCTTCTGGCTCTACCTGAAGAATAGACTTCAGGGACGCCAAAGAAACATTCAGTCGGCTGCCGACTTGGAACATCTAGGAAAATATTCCCCTCTATTTCACCAGAAATCTTTATTCATCGATTCCAAGGCGGATGTTGAAAATAATAAGGAACAAGGGACACATCACAAAATATTGAGGTAAGACTATTTATATTTAACGAGTAATGACACTTTAAACTCCCACGTAAATTTGTCGTCAACAATCAGTCCACCATGTTTGTACGTAATAATATGGCCACCCGCTGTATCATTTTTTAAACAGCCAGTATTATGGTTGAAAGTTCACTTCAGTGTATTTTGTGTTTTTTCCAAAACATGCTAAGCAATTTGAGGGTCATTGATGATGAAATGATCAAACAACAACAAAAATACCTGTTTTGATATTCTTTTCTGAAATTCCCTCCTCCCAGTTAATATAATCATACACTAAATAACACAAACCTTAAATGGTGATTTAGTAATGTCAAAATGGTTTACGATGTATTTTCAGTAATTTTGCATTCCAATGATATCACAAAAGTTTCCACAGAAAAAACTATCTGATGTATTTGGAATTGTCTAAGTTCTGAAGCCGTAAGATGGCTATGGCAAACTAGATCTCAGAAATAGAAAGTGAGATTTATATCTACAATTTATGTAGTTGATATGTGAAAGTGTGAAATATCTGTTAAAATAAGTTCAGCCTAACTACAGTCTCAGTGGTAGAGAAATAGGAAACATAGAAAAAGGACTTTACTGAAGAGAGATTAGTGCAGAAATAAGCAATGCGGGTTTTTCCTGAGTCCAAAGCGACTTATTTGGAACAGACCATGACTTAATGCAAATTAGTGTGTGATGATACTGTATTGCAAAGGACTCTTTTTAAATGCCCATTTCAAAAATAAACTGATCTTTATTATAAACGATAGCTGACGTAAACAATAATAACTTTAATACTTAAACTATTAAGGATGTAGCTACCATGGAGTCCCACTATCACTATAAAAAGAAAGAGGTAGGAGGGGTCCTTTCAAACGGTGTGTCAGGACGGGTGTGACAGATGCCAGGTGGTGGTTGGGGTCGAGCTGGGTGATAGAGATATCAGCTGACATAAGATAATCCTTTTGGGGAAATAGATTTGGGAAGCAAACGGCATGTCATAACAATTTCCAAATACTATACAGTCCTGTCGATCATCGGATGGTCATGCCACCTATATATTTTGAGACATTTAATACGAAGGCTGATTTAAGCTTTCTATGGGTATCATACTCTTTTACATATCTCCACATAAACTTTGTGAAAGAAAGACACGTAAGATGTCAATCAATAGATGACACATTCAACACACATGATAAAGCATAAAATATCTTTGAGATGACCCCTTGTGCCCGTAGGTAGCACATGCACTTTATGCCAGGTGAGTCGACGGTCCATCATCATACCTGGCTGAGCGACCTAATTGCCATCTATAGTCTGATCTATTGTTTTCAGCAGCTATTCATATTTTTTCCAAGTTTTGCCCTATTTTAAGAGTAAACATTCTTTTCTGGATATCCTATTACGCATCCCACCTAATGCCCAGTTAGGCCGATATGGGTTATTTCGACATATTGTGTATTTGCAATTGTGTAAATTTTAGAGATACAGAGTAACAGTTTTTTTCTAATTCCGACAGTACTTTAGTGCATATACGTTTTGGATTTGCTGAAAGAAAATCGAGTTGGAAAGACAACTGACATAAGTTGAATGTTTAACAATATGGTTACACTGCACGCAGAAATATGCACTTTGTGACATTTTTTGTACAAAGTATACAGTTGGTTTCTGAATCATTACTAAAAAAAATGTACTGGCTGGCGAACACTTATCGACGAGTAACAGTTATCTGAAACACCTGTTTGTAGAGCCTGCGCAGACAGCTTGACTTGTACTTCCGTAATACTTCACACATTGAGATATCACTAAACCGATAGGCTGCAAAGAACACTATTACAAAGTATGCGTTCACAGACCTTGCTTTATTTAGATTTAGACAAATTTAGACAATGATTCCCAAATATCACAAATTCAAAACATTGTAATAATCCTCACTGGCAAAATGTGTTGGCTACATGGGTTAAATATTTAGGTGAAAAAATAGGTAATTCCCCACAAAATTCAAAGATATTCTGTTCCAACCTCTCTGAAAAATCAGTGAAAAAGATGTCAAAGTTAGGAGTTACTAATGGGAGAAAACTTTTCTATGATGCATTTACATGTCATGATATTATTCCTTAAGTATGTCAATAATGGAACTGAAATATTAATTGAAAATTGTCTTCACGGAAATATATGTTTCATCAATACTGATGCTGTACCCAAGATGTAAAGCTATAAGATTTTAATATTATATTTTTGCATTCCATTGTCTTTAGTAGGAAACAATTAAAACAAATGAAGTTAGTTAATGAATATATATGTACATTCTTCAAAACTTACAGCGAAAATATTTTTCATGTTTATCTTAACTGTACTAATGATAAAAAGAATTTTAGCTGAGCGTAGAATTATTCTTGACTACTTACCAGTACCTTGGAAGAACAATCAATTTAGATAGTAATCTTGTTTGGATTCTCAGATAGTCCTTTTAGAAGAAGATACATTTTCCTTGCAAGCTGAAAGGGCAAGTGCCATTTTTGATAATGTCACTAAAGATATTGAAGATATTTACAAAACTGAAAATTTCCTTGCACGTCAAAATAATATTTGTTCTTCTTTTCAAAGGAAATGGTTTCTTCTGTCTAATTTGTAAAGCATGTGCCTAATACTATCAGTATTCATGAGTGATGTGCTGGTGTATATTTGAAGCATCCTTAAAAGATACACCCTTGTCTATTGCCATAACTTATGAAAAGTATTCATGCTATTTGAATAAAGCAGCTCTTACAGCTCTTGTCCTCTTTTGATCTCTGTCCATCAAGAGTTTTTCTCTTATCATGTGTTCTTATAAAATACTGCACATAAAACTGCAATTTGATTGAGTTGCAATAAAAGTGAGTGAGTTTAGTTTTACGCCGCACTCAGCAATATTACAGCTATATGATGGCAGTCTGTAAATAATCGAGTCTGGACCAGACAATCCAGTGATCAAACAACATGAACATCGATCTGCACAATTGGGAACCGATGACATGTGTCAACCAAGTCAGCATGCCTGACAGGTATGCAATAAAAGAGAAAACAAGAAGACAAAGTCATCAATATCCCCATCCTCGATAATCTCCAGGGTATACGTTCCGATGATTCTCCACCATACCCTGGATGCATCTAAGGCTCGAGCCGATGATTTTATTACCTCCCTTGGTTGGCTTTTTATCCAATCAGGTGTCTACGCTGGGAAGTTGAACGTACCAATCACAACTCACTTTCGCTTTTTAAATTATCTAACCGATTAAACTTGGCAACACAATAATATATTGTTGCAGAAGTACTCTGAAAGAGGTTGAAGGAGTTCTTGCATATATGTTTTATAGATTTCCGACCTGTCAATTTGTCTGTATGTTTTTCCCCAAAATCTGAGTCGCACTGTGAACAAACTTTCGCGGCTGCGACCGCTATCTTTGTTGACACTGGCATGCTCGGTTGTAACGGCGGCTTATCTGATTGGCTACTGTGAGAATGCGGAGCCAGCAAAGGGAGGTAATAAAATCATCGGCTCAAGCCTTAGATGCATCTAGGGTATAGTGGAGATTTATCGGAACGTATACCCTGGAGATTATTGAGGATGCAATATCCTCCGCAAATGGCAAAATATTCCTCATGAATGTTATTATGTCAAATGTTTTGGCGTGTGTATAGCAAAGTGGAAGGAGAGTATTGAAAGGTTTATAAGTTCTGCTCCAGAAAGGAGCACTACCACCAAATTCATTCGAAGCCAAACTTGTTGCCATGGAAACGCAAAACGTATTTTATTCAGAATTCCAAAAATACCAAAAGGCACCAGTTCACCACTATACCTATCTATGTGCCAAATTTGGTGAAGAAATATTGAACGGTTTTAAAGTTCTGCTCCGGAAAAGAGCACTACCACCAAATTCACTCGAAGTCAAACTTGTTGCCATGGAAATGCAAAAATATTTTATTCAGAAATCCAAAACTACCAAAAGGGACCGGTACACTACCAGACCTGTCTATGTGCTCAGTTTGGTGAAGAAATAGTGAACGGTTTTAAAGTTGCGTTGTGGGGGATAAAAAATACCATTTTCACTTTTGAGTCAATCACCGAGCAGAATGGAAACATTGACAATTTCTGTTGAATTGACCTTATCATTGCAAGGTATCTATTTTTAATTCCATAAATTTTGCTACAATACTCCTCCCATACAAAGATTTGATTAGACTAATGGATCTCTTAAAATAGGAGAAAGTGCATCACAGTGTAAAAACTGAATTTTGCTTTCTTAACATTTAAAACAGTGTCTTCCCAACATTCATTTTCAAACTTCATTATTTCACTGGATTTCATTAGAACACTTTGTAATGGCAAAGTGTGAAATATTTGTGATCAATGGTGATGTAATATACGCATCTTGTCACCAGCCTATGTAAAACTTGATATTGTACAGGCATATGTTCAAAAATATTTTAAACAATTCTAAATCTAAGTTTCAGAGTGTCAACTGCTGATTTGACATGTACAGAAACCATGCTATGCTATTTTCGACACTCAAATATTTACATTATAAAAACTGGCACAATTTATGACATATCTGATTTAAGTTTTCAGTAATAATATCACTGAAATAAGGTCTCAAAATGATAATCCCTGGTCTCGCCTAAGATGTTGCTCTTGAAATGAAATCATGCAAGAAGCGACTTATCACATGATCGTTCTCTTTTTTTTCTGGCTTGCCAGACCACGTTCGGACAAATGAGTTTTACTCCTTGTGGTCGGGGACATTTCCTTACCCATCAATCCTTTGAGGAAGGTTTATGAGTTGCCGAGTGTGGAACATGTGAACATATTTTATGGTAACAGTGTGTAGAAGAATTAGATTTTTCGTGTCATGATCGCAACAGAGTCACCTCACCTCACTTCAAAGGTAATATAAAGCAACAGCAGTGACTATAGCAATAATGATGGCAATATTTACCTCTCTGCAACAGCAATCCAACTTGCAAGAAAGGCCTAAACAGAGTATACTGGGTATAATGATCATCACACACAATATTACTGGTCTTCTTGTAATTTAAGATGTAATGTCACATGAGAGTCAATAGCCAAGTCCCATTACAGGGTTTGACACTCACTGATTTCTCCCACTTGCCAAGAGGCCAAGTAGAAAAGTTAAACTACTTGCCCATCACAGATACTACTTGCCCCATGTTACTTATGGTATAGAAAGACCTAGACAAACAAAACACAGCAAATGAAGAGCTTTAATGAATGAATTGAGGTTAGAAGTTGAAAAAATATGTACTTGCCACTCGGGCAAGCCTTTTAGCAATTTTACTTGCCCTGATTAATTAGTACTTGCCACGGGCAAGCGGACAAGCATGAGTGTCGAACCCTGCATTATCTACACAAGAAGGGGTCTAGACATTTCTACTATACTCTCTGAGGCAGTGGAGCCTGGGAACAGCACCCTGCAGTACTATGGAAATCTTTCTGTCTAAAGTCTAAATACAGTACATCACTGTCCCTCACTGACTGTCAACATATACAATGTATTACACTTGGAACACTGTTACATAATGAATACCATTTCCATATAACAACATTGACAAGTATTTCACAGATCATGGTTACGTGCAAAATTAAAACACTTGCCGATGAATAGGCCAACATGTTGGATGAACAACAAAACACTGGGACACAAAGTCAGCCATCTAACCCACTCGGCTGTACTTTACTGAAAATGTGTAATCCCAAATATAACAGTGTTAGATAGTGAAGTCAATCTGGATAAGTATGATTTCCCTACTGTCCATTGAACAGTCTGTAAGGCTGGGCATGCTGGTGCAGCCTTTACCTATCAAAGGCACCTGAACATTTTATCAAGGCTGTATAAAATTAAAATAATACCACAGAAGTGTCTGACGAAGTACACAAAATTACTGACGGGTAGAAAGTTGTTTTGGAGCAAGTTCTTCAAGAAACTGGGAAAACATCCTGAAAGAGCAGAAAAAGAGAGGACTGTTACAAAGAGAACTTATGAGTGAACACAATAAATTTCCCAAATCTCTCTTTCCAAAAGTCCCCTTGGGTGTCTGTTTGACTGGGTGGGCTATCCAAACATACATTCTGGAGGATTCTACTACAATAGAGGATGTTGGCGAATCTGCAACCTGGTGGACGAGGAAATGGTGGAGCCCATGGGCATGGCAGTACCAGCAATAGCAATACTACAAGTAGACCCAGGAATCTACCAACTAAACATCTCCTAAGAAAAATGTTAAATGTGGGAAGACAGGAATCACCCAGAAAAAGAAAAATACAATTTCAAACCCTGCAAGACAAAATTCCAAATGTTTGATTGTGGGTTGAATCATTTCACTACAATCTTGAGAATAATTATGTCAGATATTCAAAATCTAAATAGTGCTGGAAATGAGAATAGATTTCATCCAGACACTTAAACAAAAACTCCAAAACAACTAAAACAAGCATTGTCACTAAGGTGACATAATCCCCTGCCGCAAATTATCAAATCAAACTCATAAAGTAATGAAAGTTTAGGTTAAATGTCAACAAAAACTTGACCAGTCAACCTCTCTTGATATCTTGCTCTTTAGATGTTCAAACACACGCACATATTTTCAAGACTGACTTTGACCTTGACATGAATGTCATAGTGTATGAAATATGCAAAAATAGAACTAAAGAAATTGCTTATTGAAAAACATTCAAGGGAAGTCTTGAAAGTCTGAAGAAAATCCAGTGAACCGTTTTTGAAATATCTTGCTGATAATTCAGGTTAACATGCTTAAATCTTCAAAGTGTCGCTGTGCCCTTGAAAATTAAGTGGAGGTCACCAAAATCGACTGGGCCCTGCGCCTTCCCTGGATGAAGCTTGGTGTCAAATATGAGTGAGTGAGTGAGTTTAGTTTTACGCCGCTTTTAGCAATATTCCAGCAATATCACGGCGGGGGAACACCAGAAATGGGCTTCACACATTGTACCCATGTGGGGAATCGAACCCGTGTCTTCGGCGTGACGAGCGAACGCCGTAACCACTAGGCTACCCCACCACCCCTCTGTGTCAAATATGAAGAAACTCCAGTGAATGGTTCTTGAGGCATCTCGCTGACAAGCATAACCTGCAGGTTAATATGCTGAAATCTTCAAAGTGTCTCTGTGACCTTGAAAATTAAGTGAAAGTCACCAAAATTGACTGGGCCCTGCACCTTCCCTAGATAAAGCTTGGTTTCAAATATGAAGACAATCCAGTGAACGGTTCTTGAGATAGCTTAACATGCAGGTTTACATGCTGAAATCTTCAAAGTGCCACAATGACCTTGAAAATTATGTGAAGGTCACCAAAATTATCTGGGCCCTGCGCCTTCCCTACATACCGCTTTGTACTGAATATGAAGAAAATCCAGTGAACGGTTCTTGAGGTAGCTTAACATGCAGGTAAAACGTGAAAGTCTCCTTGTGATCTTGAAATGAAGGTCAAGGTCACCAAACTCTGAAAGGAATCTAGAGAACGGTTCTTAAGATATTCCAATTCGGACGTACGGACAGACGGACGGAGCCTAATACTATATCCCCTGCTTTGCGCTAAAAGCGCGGAGGGGGATAATTATACATAGAAGAAAGCAAAATTCTAGACCAAGAAGTGGTAACCATGGTAAACAAAAATGCAGTGAATTCTGTGTCCCATGCAAAACTAAACAAACACATTGCTTCATTGTGAAAACTGAAAGATCAGCATTTGACAGCCTATGTCTTATTTGTTGTTGAAAGATCAGCATTTGACAGCCGATGTCTTCTTTGTTGATGACAACAAAAGTGTAAAACTGCTACATGCAACAAGACTGGTTCACAAAATCCAACCAATCGCAACCAATATCTCTAAGAATCACACCGATTTGTAAGCTTTGCATTGTCCATCGAAACATGGGTTAAAAGCTTATAATGTGTTCAGTGCCCAAAACATTAAATGCAAACATTACACACCAACACTTCAAGATGGAAACAATGATGATACTTGATCTGATTGAGAAGGACAATCACATCCTAACAACAGATCCTAACAAAAAGATGTATACTACAGTGATCCACTGGCCAAAGATCAGAAGAATATGTTTGCTTCAGATGAAATGGAATATTGTTCAAGTTCCAGAGTATGCCATTCGGGCTTGGCACCTACCCCTTAGATCCAACATAAAGATCATGTAACCTGTAGCTGTAATTTTGATGTGAATGAATATACCTTCTGATCTCTCAATTGATAATAGACAGGAATTCCATTCCAGACGACACTATATCTACCTATTACTACAGTAACAGACATTACAGACAAATGCCAAACACTAGTGAGGGCTGACAGGCACCTCTTCATTACAGGCACATGCAAATGCACAAAACCTGAGTTCTCCAGAATCACAGATGCAAAGTTTGTTCACCTCATCAAGGGAAGAACTGCATTGGTGGATAACCAACCTACAAACTTGGAACGGCAAAGATATGGGGGTTGGGGGGTGGGTGTGTGTGTGTGTAGTGTGTTTTTTTGTGTGTGGTGTATGTGTTTAAAAAAGAAATTTGTGAAGGAGGCTGGGATAAAACAGAGATATCAGACCCATTCTGTGTTGGGTACCAGTGCATCAAAAATATTCATGCAGGCTCTTGGAATAGAGGACATCCTTGATTTTGAAAATTGAAGCAAAGATGGCACTCTGGCAGAATGAGTCACTGTCCGGTTGGTACTACTGGCTGCCGAACAGTTATTGCCATGTTTGAGCGGTATTTACAGAATTACTCAGCCACTCATTAAATTAATGAAACAGAATTAATTATGATACTTAATTAGCTATTCACTGATGTGTCTATCCCATTCACGCCAATCGTGTTTTTATATATCGCGGTGGAAGGGAATCATGGCAGTACAAATAGATGTTTTCTCAAAACTAACTGTAACAGTTATCGCCATTTCAGATTTCTTATGCCATTCGTGAAATAATATATATTCATATTATAAAGTAACCTCAAATAATTGATTGTGTGACTAAATCAGTGTTTTTAACAGTAGACTTATAGTGAGTGAAGCGATTGAGTATGGTTTTATGCCACTTTTAGCAATATTCCAGCAATATCAAGGTGGGGGACACCAGAAATGGGCTTTACACATTGTACCCATGTGGGGAATCGAATCCGAGTCTTCGGCGTGACGAGCGAATGCTTTAACCACTAGGCTACCCCACCAATCCCAGTAGACTGATTGGGAATGAAACAATTAATGACTGTTGTGAACTTGAACTTGCTATTATATAGATCGTGTGACATCCCCCTGAGTAAGCTAAAAAAATGCACACGTGATACTGGTGTATTGGCAATAACTGTTCAGTAGCCAGTAGGGTACATTTATGCTTACATATATATCCGTACTGGCTAGCGAACAGTTAAAGTTAAAGATAAAGTTATGGACCCTATCAAAAATGTTTTAACTTAGTCTGGGGAATGTCCCACGACCTATATAATAGCAAATTCAAGTTCACAAGTCATGATCGGCAGCCGTGAACGGGCTGGACACATCGGTGAATAGCTAATTAAGTATCATAATTAATTCTGTTCGATTAATTTAACGAACGGCGGAGTAATTTTGCAAATACTGCTAAAATATGGCGATAACTGTTCGCTAGCCAGTTCTACCTGTGAGTTTAGTTCTATGCTTCACTCAACAAAATTCAAGCTATATGGCTGCGGTCTGTAAATAATCGACCCTGGACCAGACAAACCAGAGGCATGAGTATCGATCTACGAAATTGGGATACGATGACATGTGTCAACCAAGTCACCGAGCCTGACCGTTAGTCGCCATCACTGTTAGTCGCCTCTTACGACAAGCACGAGTTACTGAAGATCAATTCTAACGGGTGTATTGATACAGAACAGAACAAGTTCAGAAGAATGGTGTACCAGTAATTAAATTATCAAGCCAAGTTCAGATCTTATTTTAGTTCACGAAAGATAACTGGAAATTCACAAATGGGGCAACAATGAATACTTACTGATATCGTGCCGGAATCGCTGTCGGTCATTGTTGACATACTGGTGTACCGTTGAAACTGACTGGTCGAGAAAATGACAGACGGCTTGCAAGCCAAATATTACATCACATGCACGCACAGAAAACTAAAACTCGTGCCAGAAAAGGTTCGAGTATTGGCACTGAAACAAACACATTTCGTAAACCGCGCTCTTCGTCATCAAATTGTGTGTGTGTTGTTCGGAGGTCGGTCAAAACTGCTGATGTCAGAATGGCCTCAAACGTCAAAAGTCAAAACGTCCAAAATCCCACAGTGAAAAGGCCACGGACAAAAAAATAACAAGGGCAACCAAAGACCATATAATTTATTATATGGTCTCTGGGGCAACACCCAAAACGAAGACAATAAATTCATTATCAGGTCATTTAATTGTACTGATAACTCCACCAAAAGAGATTACATAAGAACGGCATACTTTATGGAGGACAATTGAACTTCCCTATTTATATTAAGATGCAAGAGTGAAGTTCTACAACACAGAATAGACCAACATCTAACTGCATGCTACTATGCATGAAATGGATTAACAACAACAAAGGATATTAGGTAATTAATTCAGTGGTAACTGGAGGAAGTCAAATGTTCATGATCGAAACAGGACAGAAACGTACCCTCGGACGACTCCATTCGGTATTGTGACTTTTTCTTGATCGGAACTGTCATATTGTTTGTGTTAATGCATTTGAATGCGTTATTCAAGAAACGATTATACACAGTGACGAATATTTCGCGATGCACCACTTGCAATCGGTTGAAGGGGAACTACACGGTTTCGGATTGCTGAATATGGACTCGTCCAAAGTTTATGGTACCGGGTACGTTTCTGTATTTTTACTTTGTTTGGGGTGCATTGCTATTTAAAACATTACGTTCAGCCAAAATAAACTGATCAGTTAAAATTGCGTTGTTGATTTATCCTTTCATTCAGGGATAATCTACAGCGTCTTCTATTCTCCCTGTTTCATTGTAAGCGGGTGGAGTTACATACGTGTATATGCTTGATCTCTGTTGATTGAGAGCTTCTGGTGGCGAATTTTTAACAGCTTTTGCCTGTTTTCTTGCTCATTGATTATTACTCATCAATTTACACAATGCCAGTGAAACAGATCAAGAAACAACATTGTAATATAAACCTCTACGATGTACTCCGTTCTCCCGTTCACATTGGCTAGTCACTTTTCTCTGACGTGTTTCGTTTTTCTTTTCTTTTGTGTGGGTCCATTATAACTTCTTTTGTGGCTGTTTTGACTGGGTTTGGGCCATTTTGATTATCTCGTCTTGACTTTATGCATTTTCAATAAAACACAAGTAAACACAGGGTGTAACATTAGTTGCAGGCTCTTTCAGTGTTGTCACAACCCCTAGTGTGCAGTGCACAACCCAAGAACCCACTCATCCGATGGTATAGTTTGGCATGAAATGCATGTGGACCCGGTTTTTTGTAAATGTCTCTTCATCCAATGACCCAATCGATCTCAAACTGTGCAAATGGATGTTTTGTCAGACAACCTAATCACATTGTAAATCACCGATTGTATGCATTTGTATTAAAGAATCTGTCTATGTAACTGTCAACAAAATAAACAGCAGAATGCAGACGGCTTGCAGAGGGAGGGAGCCAATGACCTGTAACAGCGGCAGTGTTGGGTCATAAAAGTAAATGCACGTGCAGTTCATGATAGTTGCCTGTGCACTGCACAGTGATAGACTGTTTGGATCATTCACATTGACAACTTCTAGCTGTCATCATGAAAGCTTATTCAGATGATGCTAAACGTTTAATTAGAAATGTGTTGATTTTTTTAAAAAAAGAGAGCAAACGCAGCAAACCGATTGATAAGGTGTCGGATTACATGAAACGTACAACTTTTGCTCTTGGCATGAAAAAGAACATCGTGCTAAAAATTGTGAAAAATAAACCAACAACCAATAAACAAAACCTTGTGCAAAAAGGTAGGCATCCAAAGTTAGATTCTTTTGACATCAGGGTCATCAGTGATGTCTTTCGCCGGCTATTTGCTAGAAATGAACACCTGTCCACAAGAAAGTTAAAACACATCCTTGCAGAGGATCACGACATTAATGTTTCTAGGTTTATGCTAAGCAAACTACTGCTCAAATTTGGATACAAGTACAAGAAGGTAGCAAACCAGAAACTTGTAATGTGTGAGAGATCTGATATTGTGAAAATAAGGTGTGACTATCTGAGAGAATTAAGCAGACGAGAGAGGATGGGTTCGAACCGATATATCTGGATGAGACCTGGGTCAATGCAAACCATACTGCTGCCAGACAGTGGCTACCCACTGATCCCAGTGATGGTAGGAAAATACCAACAGGCAAAGGTGAACGTTTAATCGTTCTTCATGCTGGTTCCCATCGTGGATTCCTACCTGTGTGTGATCTGGTATTTCGGTCAAAGAGCACAGATGGTAGGGACTATCATACAGAAATGAACTCAACGGTTTTCACACAGTATGTTGAGGAACAATTGTTGCCAGCTCTGCCTTACGAAAGTCTTGTTGTCATGGACAATGCTCCCTATCACAGTGTTCGAGATCCAAACAATAGGTGCCCAACTTCCAATACAAAGAAGTCAGATATGCAGCAATGGCTCACAAATAACAATATACAAGTTTCAATTAAGGCCACTAAACCACAGTTGTACTCTTTGATTAAACCTAACAAACCTCCACCCACACATAACATTGACAACATGCTACGTCAACACGGCCATAAGGTCTTGAGATTACCACCGTACCACTGTGATCTCAACCCAATCGAACTTATCTGGGGAGACCTTAAAAGTACAGTGTCCCGGAAAAATCAATCATTCAAGTTGAATGATGTCAAGCACATTGTCAACACTGCTATATGTGACATTGACATTGCACGCTGGCATGCATGTGTTGAACATGTCAAGAAGGTGGAGAAAGAGTACTGGCTCAAACATGGCTTGAAGGAGCAAACAGTTAATCCAGTTGTCATTCGTCTGGACACTGATGACTCCTCTGTGGAAGAATGGAGTGAACTTGATGAAGTTTAATTCTGTTATTATATTTACAGATAATAATAGTATCCAGCCAGATATGCTCAAAGAAATATAACTTCTTTTAACAATGACAGCACTGACTGATTCCAACGACTTATAGTGTAACATGAAACACTCATTTCACATAAAATTATCATGAAAATATAAGTATTAACTATCTATATGCTTAAAGCTATTAGAAATGCATGGCTTAATTTGGAATGTGAACGACATCAAAACATAACACTTTTGTCTTCATTCTATCGTTTCTTCAATGAGTGGGCATGATTGTGTGTGCTTGTGTCCGAGGGAACGGGGCTTTAACAGTTGTTGAGTTCTAACCATAGGTGGTCCGATTAATGATTTAGTGTAAATATACTTTCTGTGTTCTTTAAATGCATTTCCACTTAGGTACTGCATAAACAAAATATGACATTAACATTACAAATTTAAAGATTTTAACCTACAGCATAATTCTCACTAATGGGTTTTGTGGTTAATGTTGAACAACTCAGAGAAACAAACTCCGTATGATGGTTAACAGTTGGCACCCACCTTACCCGATTCACGACCTGTGACACCTCTTCATACCTGTCACGTGCATAGCTGACCTACATTGACGAACGTTGACCTTTATGACCCAACACTGCCGCTGTTACAGGTCATTGGCTCCCTCCCTCTGCAAGCCGTCTGCGTTCTGTTGTTTATTTTGTTGACAGTTACATAGACAGATTCTTTAATACTAATGCATAAAATCGGTGATTTACAAATGTGATTAGGTTGTCTGACAAAACATCCACTTGCACAGTTTGAGATCGATTGGGTCATTGGATGAAGAGATATTTACAAAAAACCGGGTCCACATGCATTTCATGCCAAACTATTTTTTATAGGAATCATTTAGGATAGGATAGAGTTTAAAACGGGGTACATTATAACAGGGATAATCTACAGCACCCCGTTATATAGTCTCCGTGATTATAACGGCGCCCAGAAGGCAGTAATTTATACTCATAGTGGATAGGATGATCTGGATCAGATATAATCTTCCGGTCTGACTTGAGATTTCTTTCTTCATATATTTCATTTAGGTTAGCAAAGGATACATCTGCAATTTACAATTATTCTGGTGAGACGGTTTCTGTTTTGAAGAGACAAGGTTCCAAACCAGCATTGTCCAGAAAAAGCCAGAACGCTCTGACAAAAGCACTGATAGAAAAAACATTGAAAGATCTCAATGTGCGCAAGAAGTGTAACCTTTGTTGACATTTCTTGAATATAGCATCTGTGTTTACATTAAAATTCAGTTTGTTATCTATATATATGTACCAAGGTATACTTGTATTCATTAACGGTTTCAACAGGTTCATTGTTACTGGCAACTTGGTGTTCTTGTTAGTTCTGAAGTCAGTAATAAGTTCCTTAGTTTTCTTCACATTCACTTGAAGATAATTATGTTCACACCATGATACAAAGTCACTTATATCATCTCTATAATGCTGTTCATCAACCCTCATTCTGTATGAGCCCTACAAGGGCTAGCTGCGCCATCAGCAAACTTGACCGTTCTAGACATTTAGATTTGAGGCTGATGCAGTCATGGGTACCTTAATTGTGAGGATGATCGAGTAACAGGCTGCATACGTGACATCAAGCTTTCCAATTATGGATAAGGTCTTATTTCAGTGTTTGAAAGAAAAAAATAGAAAATGCTGGGATGCCGTTTTGAGCTGAGGCGAAATTCATTCTTCCCCAATCTTCCCCAAGAACCGTTTTCGCTCGGTGCCTTTGAAACTTTACCCCGGTCTCCGCTATATATGCAACATACTGTATATAACATTGCAATTTATAAAAGAGTGTTTGTGTTATGTTTTAATTTTGGCTCCTGCTTTTGTGTTAGTGTGCGAGGAAACATCGAACATAGAGCTCCGAGCTGACAAAACGAAACATTTCTTTCGCATATCAAAATATGCGAAGAACGTCATCAATATCTGTTCATAGATATATGCCGGAAGTTCAAAGTTATCTCCCTTCTGTCCGTTCTCGCCATTTTCTCTCTTCGAAGGGAATGAAAGATGGAAAATCTTATACCTGTAATTAATAAACTGCAAGATGTGTTCAACACTGTTGGTTCGGAGACAGTACAGCTACCACAAATTGTGGTCATTGGCAGTCAGGTTTGTGAGACAGTTTGGCCCTTCAATATAGCTGACAAAGTTCACACATTTTCAGTGTAATATATTTATTTGCAATATTTGTTATCTATTTCGTAAGGAAGTACATAATGGGAGACCTGTTGAGTTTAATTTTTCATTTTAATGTTTGTACATCCTCAAGTTTTCCACTGGTAGCCTGCAGAATTGTCAGTAACTGAAGGTGACAGGATCGAATTATTGGATGCATATATGGTTTTGAGTCCACTTTGACATTGACATGTCTTAGGTCAGGATGAGTGCGAGTCATGCCAGGTGCTGGCGTAAAACACCCGAAACCCAGAATTATGCACCTTACCGAGAGCGCCTTCAAAATTGCACTGATGGCATCTTCGCTGTGTTTGTAATTTAACTGTTGCCCATTAGATCAAAGAGGCACATGAGACCTCTGAAGCAAGAGTAGAAGCTTTAGCCATTTGGTACAATAAGATGTACCTGATGATCTTCAGTGTTAGGTTATTTCACCTAAACATAGATCAGAGTCTGTTATATTATTTTCAACCTTATTCTCACGTTCATGTCCAGTGCTGACAAACAGTGATTATCAGGATAACGTTGTTTATTCTGCTAGTCTGCGTACATCTTTGCGGGCTGCCATTCTATCCCATGAGCCCTTTCCTTATGTGCATTCGGAACTAAAGTAATGCCGGAAATGCTTGGAAAATGCTTTTTTGCAATTATTTGATAATGGTTGATATGTCAGATTCAAAACCCATATATAATCATTCATACCACCTCGACCTAAAAATATGACATATGAGTAATCATGATGTACCATTCCCTAGTCATAATGATTACTCGTAAAATATCGAAAAATTAAGAAAAAATTCAATGGTAGAAACACTTCTAAGAAACAAACTATACTGTGACCCACCTGGTTGGCAGACAGGGTAACAGTGTTATGTAATGCATGCGCAGAGCATGTCAGGGACCCTCTCAAAATATCAAGTGTCAGTATCACTGCTGGTTGAGGACTCCAGCAGAATGACAACAGGTGCAACTCGGTTGACATGAACGCCGTCCCACAGACGGTATTCGTCCTCGATTTTGAGAACATGATCTTCAGCCTTTTGCCACCTTTCTGGGGTAAATCTCACAAAAGAAGCATACACAAGCTCTTTAATGTCTGAAAGCTTGAATGTGGTATTATTCTTACAGTTACCCCAGATCAGCTCGATGGGATTGAGCTTACAGTGCCGTACTGGTATACGCAGAACTATGTGGCCTTGTTTTGCAGCTAGTTCATCAGTGATGTACTGGATTGCCTTTTTGTGCTGCCGGACTTTTCCCATGAGCTGGGGCTTTGTTTCTGAGTGAAGTGAGAAAATCCTGCAACTGAGCCTTGAGATTGCTCATGGTGGGTGTGATGGTATCAGGGACACGCAGGTTATGGTAACTGGCGTTATCAAAAATGATAACGCTTGGTTCGTCCAGCTGCCGTAAAAGCTGATGTTCGAACAAATCCAAAAATACCTGCCCATCCATTTTGCTATGGTCATCACCATCAGATTTTTCTTGGCCTCAAAAACAAAGTCACAACTCCCACTCAGTCCCTTGCTACGGGTACCAGCATGCAAGATGATCAGGCGTCTTACCTTTGCCTGATGGTAACACTGGTGCCTTACAGGGGTGGAAATAACTTTAAAATTGCTAGTGTACTCCGGTACAGTGGCACATGTAAAATCACTTGCCCTGATAATTTTTCCACTATACCGGCTGTTTTCTTGTTGATTTTTTAAATAAACACATAATTAGCATTGGAAAGTCAACTGGACACCTTTCAATGTGATATACAAATTTGCTTGCCCGACAGAAAAAACACTGGAGTCGGACGTCGGGCAATGGGTTATTTCCACCCCTGCCTTAGAACAATCTGAAGGAAGCCACATCCGATCGGTTGAGTGATTTTTATTACACCAGGTTTCATCAAGGTATATAATTTGAAACCCCAAATTGCGGTATTCTTCAACTGTTCTGAGATAAGCTGATCGCATGGGCAGGATTGAGTACTTTTCTCTAAGCACAGCTCTGTCCTCTCCCCTTTTGGTGTACCTGAACCCCATTTCTACCAGAGCTACAATAAGTGTTGTTTTCGAGACATTTATCGTATCTTTGATCTCATCTCAGTGGGATTTTGTGTTCATACAGTATATAAACTGCATGGCACATGACACCCTTTATCAAAGCTATCCAGTTTGTGTTTCCTATCTGGTTTTGATTTTGACACGACCCCTGAGGTAACTGATTTGTTTACAACTTTGTAAACCTGACTATATGTCAAATTAAGGACTTTACACATTCTATAGTAAACCCTGTCATAGCTGACGAGAGGTTTCCCCCTTTGTTTCTCCAGTATGAATTACTGGTATGAATTTGAAATTAATTGTTCTGCAGAGATATCAAGTCGCATGTTGCCAGTTCAGTGCTCATACACGAAGTGAAACTTTTATGGGTGAACAAGATTATCTATGCGATTTGAATGAAGACTTTTTTACGTAATTATTTTGAATATAACTACAACAAGAGTTCCATCTTTTTCACATATAGATGTTAAAAAAACCCAAACCTTTTACAATCATTTATGTAATTTAATTAGTTGAGGCTATATGAATACATATAGTCTGTATTTCAAAACTACAGTTTTACGAATGTTGTTAAAACGTCAAATTTCCTCCTGTGAAGTCACCCCTCAAGTGCATTTTTTCATCTGAGCTTTAATATCCAACTAGGTAGAGTCGTACATGTATCATATACATATATGTGCTTTTATCTTGTGTCAAATTCATCATATTGATATTGAAGCCAAAAAGCATTTTCCAAGCATTTCCGGCATTACATTATCATTCGGAATGTACCATTCCTACCATCATATTGTATGTAAAGCAATATGGCATTCTGCATTTTTCGCCAAAACATATGAAGAACAAAACTAAGCAAAATCAGTAAAATAAACTGAGAATGGTCAATCTCACAAACTGCTTATGCCATGTATGCAGATTATAATAGATATCAACAGCCCAGACAATTATCACTTGACTGTGTCATGAAATCCTGGAATTTTCACAACTAAAGTGTTTCTAAAGGCATCAAGTAGGCCTACCTTAAAAATTCAGCACTTCAATTTTTACAATTCCCTGTGATGTAATATTAATCCTACATTAACTTGCAAAACAATGTCTTATAATGTCAGCATATCAACATGTTTTTGAAGGTCATTGAGTGGATATATAATGCTCTTCTCAGTGGTCATTCATCTTTCTGTGCGTTGTTGGGGTGGTGGGTAGCCTATTGGTTAAAGCGTTTGCTCATCACACCGAAGACCCGGGTTCAATTAACCACATGGGTACATAGTTTGAAGCCCATTTCTGGTGTTCCCAGTAGTTACCAACTACTGAAAAGCTATAATGTTCAAGATGCACATGCCTCAAACAAGGCAACCAACTCTAACAACTACTGGTCATTTGTGGGTGCACTGATTTTCATAATGGGGCAGATGATTATGCCACATGCCTTCATTATACCACATGACATGTTAAATTAAATTTCCTGTCATTCATGCACAAGTGTGAATTCAGTGCCTGTGTTGTTGTCAGTTTGCACCGTATCAGCCATGTTGTAGATTAGCCAGGGAGTTGAGATTGATAATACAATGAGCCGTGAGCATGCACTTATTGCCTGGATATGTGCGCTATATAAATATCCTATAATAATAATTACAGAATGGGAGGAATGGCCTGTTTGATTCCTCGCATGGATACAATGTGTGAAGCCCATTTTTTGGTGGTCCCTGTCGTGATATTGCTGGGATATTGTTAAAAGTGGCGTAAAACCTAACTCACTCACTCCTGGTGCTTGTGTGTTTTACTGTGTTGACATGGGATATTATGTTGGTTGTTGTCACACTTTTGTTGGTTTTGAGTATAACAAAGATCAGGGTTTTTTATACTGAGATCCAGCTTGGAAATTTTGCCTACATACAAATGAACCGTAGTTTCTCATTGTGATTAAATGCTTATGTAGAAGTGATACTCGAGTACAAGTGATGCTTCTTTAGAAGTGTTTTGTGGGACTGTTTATTAGGTGCAGAAGATGATTAAGGCTGTTCCTCTGTCTGATGTTGAAATCCATAGCTAGATGCCACAAGGGAGAGAGGAACATCACCCATGAGGAAAATGACAAGCAGGGTCATGGCATGGAAGCATCCTGTTAGCTTACTAGTTACAAGACTTGGACTGTATGATGATTACTCTCAGTTTGGAATTTTATGAGTCATGAGTGGGAGAACCACTAGATCCTGCCTGCCTAACTGCACATGAAATATGTGTCAGTCTCTTATTTCACACAGATCTTGGCAAAAGCTTAACTCCATCAGATGCCAGGTATCTCGCACCATATGGAAACAAGGTGGTACATGGCTCTGGGTCATTTTGGTGTCAGGTCTTGATGAGAGCAAGATTTAAGCTCTATTCAGAGTGAGAAGATGTTATAGTCTGAATCTAGTGTTATAGAATATAATTCCCTTTGTGGATTTACTTGTGGAGTTATACCACCTCTTCACGTCCAAGACAGAGGAAGTGGTAGAACCACAGATGATTGAATATTCAGGTTGCCATAAACCACCAGACAACTGACAGACATGGCACTCTTTCGATATCATATATCGTTTGATATCATATATGCTCATAGAAACGATTAAGGGAACTCATAAAAGTACAAGTGTTCCTTTATTTATTTCCAGAATTTCACTCACAGCACAATACATTCCTTGTGAAGAAACCTGGAAAAGAATATAGGAACAGTTGTGCGTTCTTGTGTTCCCTTATTTATTTCCATGAGTATATGTTGAATGCATAATTATGGGGCTGAGCTACAGTGATACAGCACTATTTTTGTATAAAAATATTTGACAACCCAATCTCTGTATGATAACATGAATGCTGCATGGTCATCAGATATCTGTGGTTTTAGTTGGAGCTTCCAGATTTGTATTTGGTGATGAATCAGGTCCATTCTATTTTCAGAGTTCAGGCAAGAGCTCTGTGTTGGAGAGTCTTGTTGGGCGTGACTTTTTGCCACGTGGAACTGGCATTGTAACTCGACGACCTCTAGTGCTGCAGCTACTTCACTTGGGTAGAGATGATGTTGAGTCCAGGACTCAAGATGGAAGTAAGAGTTACGTTGTTGTCATTGTTGTGGTATTGTTTGATTGTTTTATTGAAGCCATTTTCAATCACTTAGGGCTTTTCTTCAACATCAGACTGACTCGCCCACATGACTGGAGGATTTTTTAAGCGGTGTTAAAACCCAACTCTCTCAGGAAACATAATTTTATTAAGATATTTTGTTTGCAAAACAGTTATTAACATTGTTAATGATTTTCGCAAATGGTGCAGTACAAAGTTTGATGCATATCAGGTTATTTTTATGAAAAGTAATCATTATTAATTGTTGATCAGCTGAAGTTGTGAGTCATCGTTGGGGGTATTAGTCAGCCTTGCTCCATTTTTTGGCTTATCTTATTAAACTCCTGCTGAGTGATGAAGCTTATCCATTTACATTATCTCTGAGTAGATGTGACTTAGCATTTGAGTAAATGGATGCTCTGGTTGTGTCTTTCAGCTTTCATCAAAGCAGATGAATTTGGCAAATTTCTGCACACGAAGAATAAAGTCTATACTGACTTTGATGAAATTAGACAGGAGATCATCAACGAGACAGAGAGAATGTCCGGGACAAATAAGGTTTATCTGTTTCCTATTGAGAATTCATTCTAGCTAGAGTAATGATTCTTAAAAAATATGTGTGCTTTTTTATGCTGTGTACCACGATTAAAGAAGTGCATTATGACGTCATTGATCAAATACATTTGTCATGGGAGCAGAGAATCAACGTGTTCGAAGAACGCGTTGTTTCTCTGCTCTTATGACATCTTCAAGTTCAAAACAAAACATCCAAATGTATCATGGGACCCTCTATTATCGCGGTAGTTAGTGTTGTCGCCATCGGGATTATGAACGGCTACTGACATTTAGCATTTTATACATATTTTAAGTTGACTGATGTTTAATCTTCAGTTCTGTCACAAAAAATGTGACACATAGTCGCAACTCATTTAATACCATTGCGGCAATTCCGATTGTCTCGTTTGACCCGGAAATTGAAGCAACTCTCTATTATCGCGGTATTGCTATTTTCTTACTTTGGCACGCGGTACAAGCAGATGACACTGTGAAACGTTTACTAAGACAAGTAACGAATCTAAACAGTTTGATCATTAAAACATATTTAGGAATTTCATTCACATTAGTAATATCAGCATGTTTTTAACCCAAACATCTGAAACTTCTATTCATTTGGATACAAGGTAACAATAACGTTACAAAATATTGTTTTTCCGCCTTAAAACGTACCATACAAGTTGCTGTCGTGTGTAGAATGACGTTGCATAATACGTCACTTCCTGTTATATTTTTAGCACAGAAAATATGCAAATGACATTATAGTTGTCGCAGGATTACTCTTGACGAAGTAAGTTTTGATTCATTCTAGATGTAATGGCAGTAGGGGTCATACTAGTTTCAAAATGTTCTAGAACTTACTGAAAAGATGAATACTTTAATATTTCTACCATTAGACATGACATTCCAATGAAATAAATGACTTTTTCAAGAGCGATGAATATAGTTTACGTAATTTGCATATGTAACATATCATAGCGTAGCAATACATATTTTCATGCCTCTCGATACTTCCGCATTCAGGTTAGTTTGACACTAAGTATCACCAGCTCGTGATACTCAGATTGTATACCAGCTTGTGTGTTATTTCTTGCCCTAACTATTGATGTATTCACATCAAACAAATAAACAGAATGAAAAAGTACCATGGATATCATAGAAACAGTCACTTGGTTTCAATATAGATAACTGTCATCATAGTTTCAAATAGAAGATTTACCCATATTATCAGTTATTGCTATGACTTTGAGTCACTGTATATGTTAATGTATTGATCCATTTCTTACACAGTATCAATTAATGCTCTTAAAATAAGTAGTAAACAAACAATAAATCATACTGACTACCCCCAGAGGATGTGTGTAATACATGAATAGATTTAAAAGATATCTGTATTTTCTTGTTTTGGTATTCCCCACATAGATACAATGCATGAAGCCCATTTCTGGTGTCCCTTGCCGTGATATTGCTGGAATATTGCTAAAAACGGCATAAAACCATACTCAGTCAGTCAGTTTTGTTTTGGTAACAAATGTTGAATATATATTTTCCCCAACAAACCACTTACTATCCAGCTCTTTATCTTGATTTTCATTCAACAGTATTCATTTAACTGTGGCAATAATTCTGTTTATTGAAAATTTGTTTAGAATCAAATAGTATTATGACATTAATGCAAAGTTAACCCCACAATCATTCCATAAAGATTATACTTGTGTATTATAACTAATGTTATGTTCAAGTACACATGCATCCTATAATACAAATGTATTAAATAAACTTACAGCTTTGTACAATGCAGATATGTATTGATGTAAAGAGAAAAGAAGATTGACATTATTGATTTGTTTGTGTGAAAAATTAAAACATCTGTTTACAACAAGGAAACACAAAAAGCTAATTCTAAAGAATTCAGACAACAGCTTTGTCATGACTATTATAATCATATGATCATTGTCATTTCATGTTTACAACACTGTTAAAAGAATCATCATTTTAAAGATTGAAAAATGATTGACCGTGATTATGTTTTTACTGTAGGGTATATGCTCTGACCCCATCAACCTGAAAGTGTATTCTGGAAAGGTAGTGAACCTGACTTTAGTTGACTTGCCTGGTATCACAAAGCTTCCTGTTGGAGACCAGCCGGCTGATATTGAAGTCCAAATTCGAGATCTCTGTATGAAGTATATCAGTAACCCGAACTCTGTCATATTGGCTGTCACCTCGGCAAACACAGACTTTGCTACGTCTGAGTCAGTGAAGCTGGCACGTGAAGTAGATCCAGAAGGTGAGTATTCCCACCCTCCAAATGGCAGAGACTCATGTAATTCTCACATTTGAACCCACCTGCTTTGTAAATGTTAATTCTTCATTGCCCTTCTTTGAATATTTGCAGATTGAATTTTTTTTAACTAATCTTGCACTACATACTTCCACATTTATTGCTTATGACTCAAAATTGGCTGCCAGACAAGGTGAGATGAAGAGATGAATTGTTTGCCTCCTGGCCTTGAATAAACATCAGATTCTGTCTGTGCACACATCCCTGGAAGGTGATGTCTGCCATCTGAGATTATTGCTTAAGACGTGCTTAGAAAGACGTGTTTTTCATCAGCTTTTCAACCCTTCATCCTTTAGGATTTTGCTTTTGTTTTGAGTAATAAAGTTGCTGTTGTTTTGTTCACACTTGTGGTTTTTGTAGTTATTATGTTCTTTACTAATAATTATGATATATAGTACCATGAGAGTGAATTATCATTAATTATAATTCTGGTCTCCTGTCTTCGGAAATTTTGGGACATTATTCTCAATTTTTAGTGTTTCTTCTGTCACCAAAAAACTGCCGTGTTTCAGCAGGTTCCAGGAAACACCTTACCCAACAACTTAGTCTAAAGATGTCTGCTGATGATATTCAGGAATTGCCTGCCAGTGTTACTACTGGTACTACTAGTGCTTTAATGCTTGTTAATTCTGCTATGCCAGTGCCAAGCATTCAGATGCTTCCATGCCTACACCTGGCATTTTCCTCTTCCATGATGCACTTTATGCTGCCCAGCAGATGCTTCAGTAGTTGATAGGACAGCAGTTTATGCCTCACCTGACACCTTTTGCCTTGTCCTTCAGTCCTGTACTCCATCACCCTTGCTGCTTACATCCCCCAGCGCCTGCTGTGCTCCTGCCATCTCCTGCGACTGTGGTGCCACCTACGCTCTCATATGCCTTCATTTGTTGTCTCCTGTAGATTTCATCTTTGGCAGGTGGATACAAATTTCTGCCCAGAAGCAAGATGTTTTCCTTCAAGGCTTCATCCAGCATTGCTCTCCTATTAAGACATGGAGATTTCCTTCTTTAGAGAGAGAGTTTAACCCTGATTATGATGAAATGTCCATTCATCTGGGGTTTGAACATCTTCAACTGGATAACAGATAACTTTGGATTCTTGTCATTCAAGGGGAACGGGTGTTGATATATGGCATGTGGGAATCTCCATTGATGCTTCCTAAACATGATGAAAGTTCTCATTGAGGTACGAGAATACCCACGAGCAGCACTTGCCAGCGCTTGCATAATCCGACATCCTCATCTTTTATTCTCAACTTGTAACTCTAGAATTTCAAATCAGAGTGTTATGCCAGCCCTGGTATTCCAGTGATAACCTTGATTCATGGATCGTGGTAATTATCATGCTATCTCGTAAATTAAGTCTCGTATGACGTCATGAAGCGGTACTTTTGATGTACACACAGTGCCACGCCTCGCTGACAAAAATATTCCCGAATCTCTGCATTACATTACAGTTGTAAGTATCTCCGTGTGTTTACGGATCACTGATTATAGTGTGATTTTAATTCATTGCATCTCACCCAGAACTGCTGCTGCTGCTGCTGCTGGAAGAAAGTCATCCCCCGACTTTTAACACGGTGTATCAGTGAACATCCGACTTAATAAATATCAGTAGGCCCAGACTGTCTCATGTCATCATGTGATGCATTATGTAACTTATAATGTTAACGGTAGTCATTTCGTATGATTTGTATATCAACATTTCAACATGTCATTATGACATAAGACCTTTACATTTGTTGTATGTGTGACAATTAAAAATTAAAAAAGCATTGTTTTTCTATACATTTCTTGTAAGAAAATGAAAAAGGGACTTTTTTCCAGAGGACTTATTTACCAAGGACTTTTTTACTGAACACCTCCTAGAAGACTGCTTGCTATATCTATGGACCCAAAGATGCTTGAAAAGGGACATGATTGGCACTTGTTCAGCTATAATAGACTCAGCCTATTCAGTTCCCAAAGATTCTGGAATACTCCTGAATAACTGACCAGAAAGACAGCTTTCCTTCAACCTCTAGCCACAACAGCAAGAATTAGTGAAGACCATGTGTTAGATGCTATCAGAGAAATTTGAATCACGCAGACATTGTTTTGCACAATGGGTCTTTGCTCAGATTCATCACAAAAAAGCTGTTGCCAGGGCAACCAGACTGACAGTCATCTATTCCACCATTGTCATCAGCAACAGAAGACAAAGAACAGTTCATTTTGTGTGTTGTTTGTGTGCTTAGAGGGTACTTTGAGTAAACCGAATGTATCAGACGTTCTAGAAAAAGATTATTTTTTCTTATCCTGACTCATGCTTATTTGCTTGTCTTCTTCTTCTGGCAAACCTAGTGGAACACGTATATCTCCCAATTGAAGTTCCCTTCAATAAAAATAATCACTCATTAGTACTCACCACGAGTTACCTCCCTTTCCGCAAGCGCGGGAACGATGGCGCCACCCAAGCCCATGTGCTTCACTCTCTCCTTCTTCGCCCAGTGAGCTGGACGTGAGAGCACCTGTGTCTCCCAACACACTATATCCTTACTTATATTTAGTTAAGTTCCTCTTATACGTTAGTATAGAGGTAGTACTAGTATAATTATTCAATTTGCATTGATTATTAATTGTGTTTCTGCTGTTTTATTCACGATTCATCGTGTTTGTTCAGTAGGCTACATTAATGAAAATTTGCACAGAATGTAAACTACGTTATTCTGATACCGATCCACATTTAAAATGCCCTAGTTGCATTACTCCATGTTCCTTTGATTCTCGTTGTAAATTTTGTATCAATTTACCTATCTCTGCCTTTGACAAATATTTATGTTCCGTTTACAGACGGAAGGCAGATAAATCACGTAAACAGAATTCAAACATGGCTAATAGATCGCATATTAATGTTTCATGTCAACTGTTGACTGAGGACACGCCACCGGCTGGTGGCATGCCTGAGTTTCCCTCGGCGGATAAGCGTGGGACGCAGTCCGCTATGTCCAAGAAGCGACCTGCATCTCAAGAGCTGCCGTCTTCTCAGTCCAAGTCGAGGAAACCATCCATATCATCTCGTACTTTGCGTACACAAGATCTACACCTTCATCTAAAGGGAAGTCAACAAAATCTAATAATTTTGCCTCTGATATCTTACCAGTTACAGAATTAGCATTATATGATGATGATATGCCTATTATCATTCCAGAAGTTCGTCACAAGAAACGGCCCGTTTCTGCGACTGTCACCTCAGGGCAGATGAACACACAACAGGAGATGCCAACTCTATCACCAGAAATTTTATCTGAGGGTCCCGTCACCTCTGCAGAGAGACATCCCTCTTCAACGCAGACCGCTTCAGACGACTTGATCAACCAGATAATGAGGGTGATGGAAGACCGCTTCGACGCTTACAGAGGCCTCAGAGCCACGGGCCTCAGAGCCCACCCCATATCAAGTCATACAGGGCCTCAGAGCCATGCCTTTGGTTTCGCCAGTAGGGGCCTCTGAGCCCATAGGCGCCTCTCGCTCCGCTGAAGGGCAACCCTGCCCGGAGTGAGCTCTTTGCATAAGGTATCCCAGGTCGCCTCCGCGAAGGAGCTAGAGCCGCACCTATTGCAAGAGGCTTCGCGGAGAAGGAGCGCTTCGCCGAGCACGCACCTTGTCATGCACGAAGGGCGTCCGCGAGCAAGCGCTCATATGTCGGATCGGGACACTGAATCCATACATTCGCGTGGGGCGCGCGAAGGCTAAGTGGTTCTACATCGCCTAGAAGGCGTTCGCGTAGCCCTCAACGTTCGAGAAGTCCACAGCGTCTCTTGCGAAGCCATCACCGTTCACGTAGATCACAGTCTCCGCGAAGGATGTCTTCTCCAAGGTCTACATACACTAGCCACTCTTCAGTCCGTTCTCCTCAGTCCTCACATAGATCTTCTTACAGATCTAGGACTCCGACATACAACCATCCATCAGAGGAGGATGATGGTATTGTTTTCTCAGAAGCTGAGATAAGATATTGGATGGTAAACGAATTACAACTGGCCTTTCCCTCTAAGAACGAGGATACAGCCCACACTTACCTCATGAAAGATGATGATGTAGATCATATCACCGTGCCTCCTATGGATCCTGTCGCAGCCGTTCCTGCTAATCTGGATACTACTTACGCCAAATCTACTAAAAAACCTACCTACCCATTTACCATTCTTCAATGCCAAGAATTTTTATGGACATAATATGGAGCCCTTTTTTCAAGACTCAGGAGATTGATGAGAACTTTCAACTTATCAGTGATTCCAAGTCCAGAACTTATAGGATTGATGATCGCAAGATGGCCCAGTTAGATACCATTTCCAGGAGGATGTTTTTCGGACTTAATAGGCCTAGGACTATTAACGAAACTCTCATCACCAAGTTCAAGAACTCTACGGATGAAGAGAGTAGGATGATTTACTCAGCACTACTTATGCAGAAAAAATATCAACAATTCCTTACAGACCATCTTTCAGCTCTTACTGAAATCACTACCATGACACGTCGGCAAGGGTTACTAGCCTCCTGCTCTTGGAATAAACAATGCACAGAGCCTCTGTACACAGCTCCATGGTCTTCACCGTTACTGTTTGGTGGCAACATTAACAAGGTTTCCAAGGAAGTATCTAAAGATTCTAGAGAAGTTCTCATGATTAAATCTATGGATACGTTAGCCAACGCCTTTAAACAATCAGCACAGAGGTACTTTCGGGTAAGTCTAAGTTTTCAGGGCTACAGAGGGCCGGGATAAGAAATTAGCGGCCGTTAATAATCCCAAGAATTCTTTTAAATTAAGCCCATACAACAAGTTCAGAGGAGGATCAGCTAGAGGCAGATCATCCAGAGGTGCCGATGGATTTAAGCGATGAAAGTCAGGTTCGAACGACTGGAGTCTTCCACCCCCAGTCGTCCCAGTACAACCTTCTCAAGTGG